CATACACACACACAGACCCAAGTTCAGTTGTGGGCACAACACAACAAGTCCAACATAGACGCATGACGAAACAACACATAGTCGGCGGTGGCGGAGCCGAGATGACGACGATCTAATCTGGTTCCAGTGGTGGTGGGGGAAGTGGCGGAGCCATCCGGAGAGCCATCGCGCGAAGTTGGGTGATGATGAAGGTGATGTCGTCTCTCTCCCTGGGACGGCTAAGCGGCCGCCAAAGCTGCAAGTAGCCAGGCCATTTGAACAAAGCGTCAGTAGCACGACGAAGAGGAACACGCTGAATCACAAGTTTATTCCTAACAGTCCACAGTATCCAGGCAAGCACCCTAATGGCTAGCCACCTAATGTGACGCACCGTGGGTAGGATCGCCTGGAGTTCGGCGAAGAGAGCGGGGAAGTTGCTGTGGTCCCAGCTTCCACCCACTATCTCGCGGAAACAACTCCATAGGAACTGCGCGGACATGCAGGAGAAGAAGATATGGTTCGAATCTTCTTCAGGCCCATAATGCGGGCAACGCCCATCACCAGGGCCATTGCGCTTCAGGACCTGCACGCCGGACGGGAGCCGACCGCGAATCCATTGCCACAAGAATATCCTAATTTTCAGAGGGAGGTGAATCTCCCAGATGGAGGTGAGCGCCTCATGGCCAAGCAAGGGGGCGATGGTCTAGTAGAGAGATTTAGTGGAGAATTGTCCAGAAGGCTCTAGCCACCATCTGGATCGGTCGTCTTCAGTCGTGAGATCAGGATCGTGTAAAGCAATGCAGTCAAGCAGCTCTTGCCAGTCCGCGTTCTCAGCCGGGCCAAAAGGTCTCCAGAACGCGAGTTGCTCCAAGTCAATAAGGGCAGTCGCGACAGAAATACGTGGGGCAGCCGCGATGGAGAATAGCTCAGGAAAGCAGGCCGTGAGGGGCATGTCTCCAATCCATCTATCGAACCAGAACATCGTGGCGGTGCCGGATCCTACCTCAATCGAGGTCCCGATCCGGAGGACTGGGAGGAGCCGGATGATGGATTGCCAGAATTGGGAGCCCCCAGATCGATGGCAGAAGGCGTGAGGCTGGTCGCGGAGGTATTTCTATTGAATGATGCTAAGCCATAGGCCACCATCTCCGTTGGCAATCCGCCAGAGCCACTGAGTCAGGAGGGCAATGTTCATGCGTTCAGAGGACATGATCCTGAGTCCGCCCTGGTCGTGAGGTTTGCAGATCTCTGACCACCTAACCATGTGGTACTTCTATTTATCGCCCTCGCCGGCCCAGAAGAATCGCCCCTGAATAGTGGCAATCTCATGATGAAGAGTCTCCGGAAGGCTATAGAAGCTCATGATGAATAAGAGTAGGCTGGAGAGGGACGAGTTAATGAGCACTGTACGAGCCTCTTTTGAGAGCCACCGACCCTGCCAGGGCTCGGCATGACACTAAAGCTTCCCCACCGTGGGGCGCAGCTCAGCCATCGTGAGCCTGGAGTCACTAACGGGTATCCCCAGATAGGTCGTGGGGAAGCACCCGAGCTGGCAGTTAAGCCGATCCGCTATGCTCTATCGCTCGTCCTAGGAGTAGCCCAAGACCATCACCGCACTCTTGTCGAAGTTGATCCTGAGGCCAAACATCTGCTGGAAGCACAGCAAGAGGAACTTGAGGTTCGTGATATGATACGTCTCCGTCGTATCTGCTTTTCCAAACACTTTTTCCCTTGTTTTGGACTCTAACTTGCATGATTTGAATGGAACTAACCTGGACCGACGTTCTTTTCAGCAGAACTGCCATGGTGTTATTTTTGTGCAGAAATAGAAGTTCTCAGAATGACCTGAAACTCCACGAAAGTTATTTATGGAATTAATAAAAATACTGGCGAAAGAATCAAGGTCAGGGGGCCCACACCCTGTCCACAAGGGTGGGGGGGGGTGCGCCCCCCTGCCTCGTGGGCCCCTTGGAGCTCCACCGACCTCAACTCCAACTCCATATATTCACATTCAGGGAGAAAAACCCGTAGAGAAGGATTCATCGCGTTTTACGATATGGAGCCGCCGCCAAGCCCTAAACTCTCTCGGGAGGGCTGATCTGGAGTCCGTTCAGGGCTCCAGAGAGGGGAATCTGTCGCCGTCGTCATCATCAACCATCCTCCATCACCAATTTCATGATGCTCACCGCCGTGTGTGAGTAATTCCATCGTAAGCTTACTGGACGGTGATGGGTTGGATGAGATTTACCATGTAATCGAGTTAGTTTTGTTAGGGTTTGATCCCTAGTATCCATTATGTTCTGAGATTGATGTTGCTATGACTTTTCTATGCTTAATGCTTGTCACTAGGGCCCGAGTGCCATGATTTCAGATCTGAACCTATTATGTTTTCATGAATATATGTGAGTTCTTGATCCTATCTTGCAAGTCTATAGTCACCTATTATGTGTTATGATCCGGCAACCCCGAAGTGATAATAATCGGGACCACTCTCGGTGATGACCGTAGTTTGAGGAGTTCATGTATTCACTAAGTGTTAATGCTTTGGTCCGGTACTCTATTAAAAGGAGGCCTTAATATCCCTTAGTTTCCAATAGGACCCCGCTGCCACGGGAGGGTAGGACAAAAGATGTCGTGCAAGTTCTTTTCCATAAGCACGTATGACTATATTCGGAATACATGCCTACAGTAGATTGATGAATTGGAGCTAGTTCTGTGCCACCCTATGTTATAACTATTGCATGAGGAATCGCATCCGACATAATTATCCATCACTGATCCAATGCCTACGAGCTTTTCACATATTGATCTTTTCTTAGTTACTTTACCGTTGCCACTGTTACAATCACTGCAAAACTGCTATTGTTACTTTTGGCACTATTACCGTTACGTCCATACTACTTTGCTACTAAATACTTTGCTACAAATATTAAGTTATCCAGGTG